ATTTATTTACATTTATATCCCATCCAATTAATAGGCAAGCTCCTACTCTGGGTGGCTAACAGAAGGACACAAAGTCATAAACAAGAGAAACAGTTAGTAGCATCTCTTAAATGGGGTATTGCATCCTTTCTTTACATTATATTAGAAATATCTACTGAGGTTTATGGGTCAAGTAATCTACAGTGTATGCATTACTTCTGATGCTGCTGCATCTATAGTTCTTTATGTATGGGTGATATATTTGTTGTCATATGGAGTAGTTAGCTGACAGATTAGTGAAATGGAAGAAGGCAGGAAAATTTCCCAAGTTATGTGCAACCCAGTTTCCTGCATGTTTACTCAGAACTAGTACCTTCTTGTCTCAATGATCCTAGTCTCCAAGTGAATATGGATAACTCTGCACTGCTTTGTTTGGTTTTTTCTGGGGTTATCATCATTTTCAGGTGTTGAAAGTTGTTGCCTTGAGTGTTATCTCACTGAGAAGATAATGGAAACAACTTTCAATGTCACCAAATATCATAATATCATAGTAGTTCAAGCCTATAGACCTTGCTATCTATCACACTGAGCAGAATCCACAGGACATGTTATTTTTTGTATTCCCAAGAAGGCAATTTTTATATGTGTATCAAGATCCTAAGCAGGCAAATATATTTATGAAAAATATGTATTGGAAAAATATTTCTGATTTATTAATTCATTTTGGAATCAAATATATGATTTATAACTTACAGTAATGTATCCTCTTCTTTAATTTACAGAAAAAAATATTTTGACGTGCCTCAAGATGGGAGAGGTAAGATTACAGTCCAAGAAGAGAAGCTTTATCCAAGGCAGGAGGAAATGATCAAACGATTAAGGAACCTGAATGAAAGAAGGTGACTGTTGGTCTAGTCATTAGGAGAGAACCACCACTGTGGCACTTAATGGTGTGAAGAGATCTTGGTGATGAAGCAGAATGCAAGCAATACCTTGAAAAGAGAAGACATCCATTTGAAAGAAGACAGATGCTTTGGAGGGAGTGGTTATTGCAACACAAGACAAGTTGCTCCAGAGGGAATCCAAACTCAGAATGGACAAATATTACAATATGAACCTTTGGTAGATAATAGTTTCTTTGCCTCCCCCATCCATTAAATTGCCATTTGAGCCTATCTTAAGTGTCAAAATAATAAATACAGCTTTTTTTCCAAAGTTCTCTAGTGCATATTGTCACAGTGAGCCTAGATCAGCCTAGATTTTTTTCCTTTCTTTTTCTTCACACAAGTGAGGCCAGAAAGGAAGAGTTCCCATATTTACCCATGGCAAGATGGAAAGCTTCAGTTTCATGTTACTGAGAGCACCACAGTGGCCTCTTGTACCTGTGCAGATAGGGAATTCAGGGGAGACCACCTCTTCTATCTTGACCCCAACTGGAAATATCAGAGAAAAATAAATATTGTAATAATACAAAGCAATAAAATATAGTTGCCCTCCATTAAACAAGGTCATAAACCAATTTCCTTATTATAAAATACCTTTTGCCTGGGAATTAAAAATTACTACCCCCTCAGGAATTTGACTGCATTCATGTGAAGCAGGCCTACAATGATTCTCTTGCTAAGGGTTATGGCTAATGCCATGTGTTGTGCATTCTGAGACAACTTCAAGTTTTACTGAGAAATAATTTGGAAGCATGGCAGGTTTTATGGGGATTCTTCTAAAATTCTTTTAGGCATTATTACGTAGAACAAAGCACGCAGCATTTCAAAAGGACAAATCAATATTGAAAAAGCACTCTGCATTTGCTTAGTTATTATTAGGTCTTCTCTGGAGATGTATTCTTATGAAGGAAAGCATTTCACTTTAGAATTTTTGTGCTGGAGAAAACCTGGGTAGTTTCTCTGCAGGAATATGGTAGATCACCTCTAATATTTCTACATGGACAGAATAACAACAGATGTAGCACCTCTGACAGGAATAATGCTCCTGTAGAGTCCACCACCTCTTGAAAGGGGCAGAATTTTCTAAATCCTTTGTTTTACCTACATAGCAGTGGATGTAGCCTTCTAATGAACAGAGCCAATTTATTTTCAAATCATTGTTCAGCCTGTGAGCTTTCTGTTTTCTGGAAGGGATATTCCCTGATACCGTAGCAGCCTCCTCTAAAGCACTTTTATCAAAGGTGGGAGAAGAAAGGATACATTAAATGCCAGAATTTTCAAGCAATTGGGTAAAAACAATTACTATATGTTGGATTTTTCAGCCAGATTTGCCTTGTCATGTTTTTTACCCCATGCTTTCTGTTGGGTATGAACATGACATAACTTTGACTTGAATCATATCATTATTTCATCCATTTGCTTCCTGTACAATTTGTCTGCAGTTAGAGGAGGGGATTTCAGCAGGTGCAGCTTTTCACGAAAGGGTCAAGAAACTTAACAATTTGTGAAAGTCTCTTCAACATACACTTCTTAAGGACCAGGCACCACCCTGCCCTTGTTTACATTCATATATCCAACTTGCTCACATGCAGACATCCCTGCAGTCCCTTTCTCTTAAGTCTTTGGTTCTCCCTTTTCATGAAGAAGCTTTGTCTTTAAACTTAGATCAGTCACATCTGTATTATTTACATTAGCATAGCATCTCACGTACGAAAAAGTAAGGCAGGTCAAATATTGCCTTTCCAGTATGTCTTCTGCCACATAAGCCTTTTCTGATAACAGATACACCAACACAGAAGGCTTTTTAAAAGGGACGCCACACATGGTTAGCTATTCTACTAATCTAATTTAAGCCTGCACTGCACGTTTGGATATCCTGTTACCATTTGCCAGTTAACATTTCTTTAGCTTAATTTTAAGTACCATATATTATAGTTTTCAATTAATCTGGCTGTTAAATTGGTTCCAAAAAAATCAACGTTGTGTGAAACATCGTTATGTGAAACACCATTTCTCATAGGAATGCATTGAAAATCAGTTAATCCGTTCCAATTGGAACAGATTGCCATCGTTCAGTGAAAATCCCCCATAGGAAACATCGTTGTGTGAGGCAGCAAATTTAACAGAAAAAGGCATCGTTGTGTGAATTCATCATTGTGTGAGGCACTCGTTGTGCGAGGCACCACTGTATTATAGTTTTCAATTAATCTGGCTGTTGTGTTATTAAGCCATCCCATTGCTTTCTGCTGGTATGCTTCTTCCTGGATTACATAGAAATAGATAAAGGAATATGGTGAAACAGAGATGGCAGTCCAGCGGTAGTTGCAGGCAACTGATCCCTGGTCAGTTTCAGATACTGGTACACATGCTCATTCACATGAACAAACAGTTCAAGAAGGATCTAGTGAGTGTTACAACCTGGGGGCACTGAAACCTGCTTACCTAAACTGGACTGCAGAATCATTCATATTAAGACTATGTATTTTCTTCTTCACTCAGTATGATAAATGTCCCATTTATCATTTGATATGGGTCAGAACTGAAATGGAAGAATTTGGAAATATAATTAAGCAAAATGCCACAACAGATTTCTGAATAAGCACCAGCACATAAAAGTTATAACCAGGCTACACCAAGGCTTTCCCCACCAAGACCATCAACGGTGTGCCAAATTTTACCACTGCCCATCCTAATACTTAGCAGTGGTTTCATGGATCAGTGAGCTTCTTAGTCATATCCCTGGAAGGAGCAGGGAAGCTTACAGCTGTGAAGATACGCTTGAGATCATGCAATGCCTGCTGACATCTCAGACGCAAGGGGGGAATAGCTGGAAATGGTTGTGTGGCTCACAGTCATGGAAAAGAGGCCTTAGTCACTGCCATACTGGTGGCTGGCATCAAACTAGAGGTCAAGAGGGATGCACATTTCCAGCTATTCACCCCGTTTTCCTTCCCACAACAGGATGTCCTTAGCAACTTGTGCCTCAGCAATCAAACACTTGCAAATTAAGCCCCTGTTCACTACCAAATGATCAACCAGAGAAACTGAATAAAGTATATTAAACAATAAAACAGTCTATTTGCTCAACTGGCATGATTAGTGCAGGTCACAGAACTCAATGGGTCACAGAACTTGAATTGCTTGGATGCATATTTTAATATGGATTTTTGATGCACTCACATATAGATTTGAAAATAAAATTTAATTAGATGAGAGAGAGAGATTCATTGGGCAATACTATGCTTTAACCTAAGCAACATTTTCAGCAAATATTGTTTTCCCTAATAAATTTACATTGAAGTGGGCTGTTTTCTTGTACATAATCACATTTTTCTTCCAAATTAATACTTTAGAATCACGTGGGCTTTTTTTAATGATCTATTTCATTGTGAATTCAAAATTGTCACAGAGATCTTTGTAAAAAGCTTGTGTTTATGAAGGAGTTTGTATTAGATAATGGTTTGTGTGACTCACTGTATTTTGTAAAGGGTTGATTTCCCTTTGGGAACTGTGTGCATTTAATGAGCAGTTTTATGCTTCTAGTTTGTGTATGCTGTAATTGATAACGTGGTTTTTTTGACATTCTGTAAGGAATAGGTTGATATTCAATAGACACTAACTGGTTCAGATTTTCATATTGCCGAAAATATTTGCATATGTTGATAATATCCATATTGTAATAGAACAGTGTGGCAGTGGTCAATAATAAAAAAAAACAAAGAAGCCGTTTATTTTAGCTAAATGTTGGGCCATGACTAACAATTAACCTGGCTTTAAATTTAATGACTCATTTAAAGATTGAATGATTTGACTCTTTCTCAGATTTCACAGTCTCAACAGTCAAGGAATGTTATAAATTACAATGCTCTGAGGCCCTATTCAGAGACACCAAACAAGGGAAAATCCTAGAAACTAACTCATTTTTTTTCATCAGTTAACCATTTCTCACCCAAGTGCAAATTGTCAGGTCTCTCTTTTTTTGACAAGGGTGAATGGTGGTGAGCAGAAGAGAGTATCTTTTAGACCATCCCGACTGCCACCATTGGCGTTGTCAACATTCAGACTGCTCTTTGCTATGTAAAGCTCGACGTCCTTTTTTCTGCTGGTAACATGGGCACGATACTGTGCAATATCAAAACATTTCATTGTGTTTTGAATCATGAATACAGAAGCACAATATTCCACATTAATAAACCAGAGGGGTTTAAAAAAAAAAAGAGTTTCTGGGTTCCTAAAACAGAAGTATACATACACAACATAACAACTTCCAATAGAAATGTTCCTCGTGTAGAATTACCCAGCGTTATATGACCAGAAGAGGAGCACATGATCTGTACTATGGTTGCTGAAGGAGGACAGAAGCAAGAACAGCCAGGATATGGCTGTAGTCCCTCTGTGCCAAAATATTTGGAAGAGCTGTTTTTGGACTTAATGAATAAGCGCAACATATACAATGGAGAAATATACACACCCTTCAACTTCTCAGGTAAATGACCATTGTCATTCCACATAATGCAGACTAGAAAGTTATGTTCTAATTTCAAACCCTTTCCTTGGGAAAGGCAACCTGAGGAAGAAAAGCTATATGGGGCCAAAACCTCTACAGGCACATTCTGTGCATGTACAAAAAAGGTATCACAGATGGCCAGAAAGACAGAAAATTGGTCAAGTTGGAAATTTCAAGAGAGCAAAAAATGAGTAGACGGAGTCTATCCTACCATGCACATATAATGAGAATATAAAACTGACCAGAAAATATTATATTGTTGGGAGACTGCAACAATATATCTACTTAGCAATGTCTTGCTGGCAAACCTGTTTGATTAATGTCCAGCAAGATAAGAAATCACTGGTTCTCCCTTTTGAAATATTGAGGATCATTATTTCAGCGCCTACGGTCTAGATTCTTTCCAAATTAAAAAAAGCAGGTGGGACCAACCATTCTGTTTCAAGATAAGCAAGATTGCTTGTTGTGGGTTTTTTGGGCTCTTTGGCCGTGTTCTGAAGGTTGTTCTTCCTAATGTTTTGCCAGTCTCTGTGGCTGGCATTAGCAAGATTGCTCTTTCCACCTTTTATGACCTATTTTAAATCTGGGAACTTCAGGGTTGCCTGTCTCTGAATAGGGGTGGGGGACAGTTTTACCCTTTAAAAAAAATCATAACTGGAAAACCCTTTGCCTAAACTTTCCTAAATTTGAATCTGAGCAAGAGCACACTGCTGAAAGTGTACCAAATGTGGCACTCTCATTAAGCCCTGTTTAAAAGTTATAATTTTGTTTTTGTTTGGGCTGCCCCCATTTTTCCAATTGCCTTATAGAATGTTAATTTACTCTGCCAGCACAAGGTGACTGCTGCATTCCTGTGCAGCAATAATGTTGGTTGCGACCCACACATGCACACACTTATGGCAGTAGTGTTTCCTAAGGAGGCAAGATTGAAAGGTGGAATTTTAAAATCTCATAAAATTCAGAAACTTTTCTTCTGCTTCTCACATATCAACCTGTTCCTGGACGTTCTGCAAATAACAAACTCCATGGCTGAATGTACCTCCATGGAAAGGTATTCCTATCATTTAGAAAATAGGTACATTGGGGAGATGTCCAGTCTAATCTAGGGACCAAAGCATTTCAGGCACTCTGTCACTAGATGGGTGGGGTATAAATAAATAAATAAATAAATAAATAAATAAATAAATAAATAAATAAATAAATAAATAAATAAATAAATGAATAAATAAATAAATAAATAATCTACAACCTGGGTTCTAAGATAAAAATAAATAACAGGCATGTGAAGGAGGTTGATGAGTGAGTATGTCATGGAAGACAGTGTCAAATAATGTATGCCACCTCCAAATGGAAGAGTGGAATCTTTGCTTTACTTTTGCTTCACTTCTGTATCTATTTATGCTTTTCTCCAGTGTATACTAGAATATAAGTGGCTGGGTAGCTCAGTGAGTTAGATACCTGGCTGTGGAATCAGATGTCAAGAATTTCATTCACTACTGTTCCTCCCACTAGAAGAGCCAGCCTGTGTAGCCTTGGGCAAACTACATAGTCCCAGTATGCCCTTAGAAGAAGGCAGTAGTAAACTACTACTGGATACTCAATACCTAGAAAACCCTGGAAATGGTTTCTTTAAGTCAGAATTGATTTTGTGGCACATTATTATTTTATACCGAGACATTTTTCAGGGATTTAAATTTTGCAGTTTACAAAAAGAAATGAGAATTAAATGGAGCCTCCCATATGCTGCTCATCACATCCTCTCTGGTTCATTTGTCATCTCTTATCCCTCTGTGTCCTCCACTATGTTAGACGTTCCTTCTGTCCCCCTCTGCTAACCTCTCTTCTCCGCCCCATCCTCCATTGTCTTGCTTCCTTCTTTCAGACCCACTGTCCTCCATTGTGTTCTCTCTTCTCTCCTCTGACTGTCTCTTCTGCTGTTACACTTTGTGACACTAGATGGTCATTTTGCCTGGGAAGGTTTCAGACTGAGGATGCATTGCACTACAACTCAGAAGGAACTATGCAGTTATCCCTTCCTTTTTTTACTACACACATTTCCTGCTTGAAGGTTCTTAGAGACCTTACAACTGAGGTTCACATGTTAGTGTAGGGCTGTGGGCAACACTGAAGTGGCTGCATAAGCAGGAGTTAGTGAAGAGTGCTATCATAAGTTAAGGGATCACTGATCTATGCCATTGAACCAGTTGCCCGTGTACAGTACAGACATCCTGCAGGGATGACAATATTTAAGACTGCAGACATGCCGAGCCCCTTTAGTGTTTCCTCTTGGATTTTTACCCTGCTTTGTAAAAAATATATATATTCCTTTCCATCAATTACCAGTCTAGTGTCTCAAATGTTCAGAACATGACCTGAAACCCTTTTGCTTCAGGCATCTCCTCTAGACAAGACTTTTATCTTGGCATAGTGTTGCCTCAT